ACTGTAGGGGGCACAGTATGGCCATATAACAGGGTCACTGTGTCGCATTACGGTCGATACGATACCGGACTCCACGGTTGGTGTTACGTATCTGCATGGGCAGTGCATAGAATTGTAAGATAACTACTATAAACGTACCGCTGGCAGCACCAATGAAGATGTTTTGCATTTGGGCTTTTAACCATCGCAAATGCATGTTGCGTAGTAACGCTGTCAATGTCCCATAGGGAGGCCTTATTATTGCCGGGTTTAAAACCTATGCCATTGGCCCAAAGAGCTTTAATAAGCTATGCTTAATTAGCCCAATTACGTCCCATGAAACGTGCGGTAAAATTACCAATAGCGAAGCCTCAACTATTGACACCCCGCGCCTTTACGATCTGTTCTTAAAAATCCCGCGTTAAACCCTTAGCATTGTTGTCATTACGCCAAGTAGCAGCGGCTAATTGGTGGCTCCATATTATTCAACACATGCGTGTTCTGAGCCCATGTACGAACTAAATAACAGAAACACCAAAGAGAAAGTCTTCGGCGAAATTGTAATGCGTGCATTTGTAACGCGGAAGCGTGAACCAAACGCGAAGGATGACGTCATCATGAGGAACAGTTTACGTGCTCCGGATCTACAAATCGCGAGCTCTAAGGAATAATCGCCATCAACTATTCCAAGGAAACAAATGCAAACAATACGCGTGTATAAAACAAGGTGGATTCTACAAAATAAATCAAAGGTCAGGGAAGTGGCGCGTATACAGTTAGTAATGGTAGAAGGTTCCGGACTTTAATGATACATGGTGGGTTGTACGGAAGAAGCGGTTGTTTTATGCAGGAAGACGTTATGACTGTGCTGTCGTTACACAGGGCAACGAGTTGCTGGGGTGCATACACCCGGGTCCTCGGACATAAGACCGAGCAAGCCGAACAGAAGACCGAAAGTGGCAATAAAGTAGTCCTAGAAACTCACCGGTGCTGCAGGAGATATTTTGAAAATGTGGTGGTATCCAGTTGTCATTAAAGAAAGTAGTGCTGCCTGCTGCTTTGAGGACAGGCGATAGATGTAATGCATAACAATATCCGGTTACGCCGTCCACGCGTATAAGTTTGCTGAATTTGCAGAGCTGAAAGAGATTATGCGACGTGGCAATTGTCATGTATCACCGATAGGTGCGAAGACAACAATGAAACCTGATAAGTTATTACCTGATAAGCGGCGGCAGATGTATATGTTTTCAGATATTGTAACTTGATTGCAATAACGGTTACAGACGTGTAAACGATTTAGAAACATTCACCACCAGTTTAGTAAGCGTGTATGTGGTTTTGAACCCACCAATAGTGAACAGTGAGAAATGGTTTTACCAGCCTTATAAGGAGCGACTGACAGCTCTAAATCAATGTGAACGGGCATGGGAGGATAGGCCAAGTTATGCAGCGTATACTTGTAATTTGGGTGAAGTAGAAGTGGTAAATGCAAACCTTAGGTGTGTCAAAAATGCGGTGGTGCATGTGCGCGTGGCATTCTGTGTTAGCCTACAAGCGACAGGAGGATGGTCTGAGCGGTAAAGCACGCGAAGCGAATATGTTTTCGTTCTGGAAGCTACATATGAACAGCCAATACACTTACAGTGGGGCAACGTAGTACATAGGCGGAGTAAAGCTTAACTTGCAGGCGGCCCAGTCGTAACGGATCAGTCATCCAGGCAGCACGGCTATACAGGCGTTTTGAACGCCACTTGTTATGAGCTGGTGTACATAGCGGAGGTGCATCGGAGTATCTAGGCGGCGACACATGTTACCTTCAGGCAGCCCAGTAGTGTCGGATCACTCATGTGTGCATCACGGATAGACAGGCGTTCTAAAAGCCACATGTTAGAAGCCAATATACTTATTGTAGGTGCAAAGGAGTATCTTGGCGGTGGCACAGGCTACGTGAAGGCAGACTAGTAGTGGCTGATCACTGATGGCGACAGCACGCACAGAAAGGCGTGCTAAAACCCATGTGTTATAAGCGAAGTGCTATGGTGGTCGCGAGTGGTCTCACTATTTCACACGAGCTCCGCAGCTTCAAAGAACAAAGTGTTGCTGCAAGATCACCAACCACTTTATGACGCTTAGACTTTCGTTAGCCAGGAACTCCAGGTGGTTGATTCATTCAGTCACCTTGGCAGCTGCATCAGCAAGGGTGGGCGCATAGAACCTGAAGTGAGTTCACGCAACAATGATGTGCATTGGCGAGTAATAGGTAGTGAGAATCATGCTAGCTCCATAGAACAGATAGCATTAATACTTTGCTTTGCGTTTGGCTCCTGATGCGTACGCCTGGCCACCACTTACCTATGGGGGCATTGATGGGTCTGCAAGAACTAGGGTGGGGCAGCACCCGAGGAAAACAGAATTTGACTTCGAAGTGGGAATTAAATTCACTGACGACCATACTGGGTGCCAATGATTCTTGTTGCCTTCCGAACTGGAGCCCACGTGATTCGCCTTGTGCATGGCCCGAGTCTTTACAGGACTTGGATGGCTACCGACTCCTGTGGCGCGTCTGCTGCCGTCTTCTAGTCGGATTGCGTTGTTAAAGTGTGTTTAGTGCCTAGTTATACGCGGGGGAATGGCTGATTATGACGCGGGTCTGTAAAGGTTGCAAGTAACCTGTGTCACAGATACCGCCTTATCTTTTCACGGTAGTCAGCTGGTTGCGTCCGTATTTTGCTTACCTGAGGTGTACGTGCCTTGCTCCTAATTGTTTGCTTAAAGCATTAAGATTTTCAGGTTGGTGCCCCTTGTCTCTCTTTTAGTATTCTTCATTCCATAGTTCACCGTGGTTGTATAGCAGCAAAGCATCAGGTCAAATGGCAGATGTACTGCGGTTATTCTTGTTGATGTACTGAAACAAACCGCCGCAGTTTCCGAGTGATGCAGCGGCCTACATATCAGCAACAAGCATCGACCACCAAGATTCACGGTCATATCAAAAGCTTCCTTTCAGTTGTGTTTAAATTGACCGACGTCTTTCGTTGTGTTCCTTGCCAGCGGGCACGGCAAGTCGACGGTCTCAAAATTCTAAGATTGTTGAGCTCCAGCTTTTATTTGCGCAGCAAAGGAGGTGACAGTTGAACAAACCGGCGGACAGCATGGCGTTTGCAAACATAACCGACGTTGGCCCCGTTAACTGCACAAGCTGCTGTAACTGCTGCTTTATTACGCATTTGCGAATAAAAGGAGGTAATATTCGGTGAAGTATGAAATGTTCTTTCATATCAACGAGAAACTTACCAAAATGTTTGATCCGATCTAATTTGCGAGTTCGCTATGTGCATTGCAAATGAAGTGACGTAAGCTGTAAGCGGTACGTAGTACGCGCTAGCAAAAGCATGCACGGAAATTAAGCACCGTGATTATAACTGCAAGGCTAGGTTTTCACAATTCCTTGAAGGATGTGATAACTTGCTGGGTTTTTGGCATTTAAAACACACGCACAAACTTTTAGTTGGGAGTGACCGTTTGACGGAATTGCAAGAAACGAAACTGTGCAGCCTGATGCCTATAGTTTAAGGCAACCATGAAAAGCATTACTACGTTGCAGTGTATTTTGTGTAAGCTTCACCTGCCAACACATACGCACTAAAAGCACGTTGCAATAAATGGAATACTGATGAAGTCACTGCAATGGTTAAACTGCGAAAAGGGAACGTACGTGCTGTGTCTTTAATCATGGTAACACGCTTGAACACCTCTTTTGCATGCCATCACGCAGGCAGCCTATAGTAGGGCGATACTATGAGGTCACTTTGGCTGATGCCAATCATCAAATATAATACGGTGGCTGTGTCTATTGTTACTGTATGTCTGAAGAGGTTGCTGATGTTGATGCCAGTTATTACGCGTTGCTACCAAACAAAACCGTAGGTACATACCAGTTTCCCGTAGAGCTAATGAGGTGATTTCTTCCTGGAGCTACATCCGTGCGCGCAGTAATGACGGACAATTGTGGGGCACGTGTTAGGACTTTGGCACAGTCTACTAAAATACGTCAATGCTTTTTCGCTCTATTTATGTTTTCAGGTTTACGAACCGCTGATGCACGCAATCGCATGCGGCGTCCTCTGCGACGAACGGCCTTTTGAGGCAATGGATGTTGAATTTAAACCACACGAGGAAACTGCAATCGTTTTGCAAGCTGCTGTCTGCAGCCTTCCGAGGGACCAAGAAATGCTACCGTTAGTTGAAACACACCTGGCTTCCTTGTGCGCTCTCGCGGGCAATCCATCTAATGGGTGAGTTATGCAGGTTCGGTTGTTTTATCACTAACAGAGTGAAAATAAAAGTATGCATCTGAAGAGGCGATTAGGCGAACGGTCTTCCTTGAGTGCGTTGTTCGTAACCGTTGTGGAACATGTTAACGCTGTTTCGAAAGTAAGGCGACAGAAGCCGTGCGCATGCGGGATGAGTGCTTGTATTCTGTCGGAAGCGGTGAGCATGGCCACTGCTATGGTTGCCCGGTTAACGCCATTCGCAAAGACGCAGTTTTTGCGTCACTGTAGGTTCGTTTACATAACCTCGGTTTCACGCGACGGAGACTAATTAAAGGCGCGGGCTGTGGGTGCGGCCGTTACTCAGGACTACATTTTGAGTGGAAACCGCTGCCAACGCGAGCTCAAACGTCAGTGGCACATTCCTTGTATCAGGCTGTTCGTGGGGTTACCAAGAAAACCATGCTGGATGATCGCTTACGGTGGTTAACTGAGGGTCCAACATGTGATATGGAGGTAAGCCACATGGAATTTGGATAGCATTACCGAAAGAACGGGACAGTGTTGTTCAGGAGACAATGGGGGATAGCGTTACCATGGCACGTAAATGGGCTGAATTGATAGCAAAATTGAACGTACGCTATTACAGTATTTCCACTGTTGTAGCAAGACGTCATTCAGTCTGCAAATGTTTGGCGGTTATGCATGAAATCAACTTTGTTGCTTTACTACAAAGAGCCTCAGGGTATGGCACCTGTTTTGTTAGACGAATCGGACGAGTTACAAGCGCTGCAGGGAAAACCCGGTGTGTTTAAAGTAATACAGTTCAATGCATCGGAGCAGCCATCCACCTCAGAACAGGCATCGGATATTACTTCACTTAGGCGATCTAAACGGAAGTGGCCGCTGGAGCTTTGGGTGATAAAGGTATCCGGTGCTGAGTCCACAGCAGGGAACATGAGAATTTCACAGTTGAAAACCACTACTTCTGCAACGTCTCGTGTTGGCTTGTTTTCAGAGCCTCATGCAAGCGAATGCTCCCAAAGGGTGTCCAAAGACCTATGCGGAATATTTGAGCGAAAGGGTGATCCTGCGGAAGGGGAAGGGTTAGTTAATTAAGTACTGAGCAACTCCTGCGGCACATTGTTCCACCAAACCAACTGCGGTTTAACCGTCACGACAAGACTGGAACGTAAAGTGATGTTATGATCTGCGTACCTCGTTGATCCATTGAGCTACACCGGGTGGGGCCCTTGTGCCACTTAAGAGCTACTCCGGCCAGGGTGATCAATGCCTAAGGCTCAGACAAACTTACTCACCCGATCCACCAGGTTAGGGTTACGAAATGAGATGGTGTCCATTGTGGTAAAAGCTAAGCTCTGCCACATTCGTTACCCTTCGGACAGGCTTTTGAGCTAACATTTTGGTTGAGTGACCTAATCATTCTCCTTGCGTCTGAGCGTCCTGGCAGTACCACAGCCCACCTACAACCATTTGTTCTTAAAATGTCAACCATATCTTGCATCAGTCTTTGCGCTGGTTATTAACGGTCGCCTTATTTGCTGCAAAAAGTAGGTCGGATAAGCGAAATCCCGCTACTGCTGGCGACTTCCCACTTTCCTTTCCATACGTTGCTTTTACTCGTAATGCAGTCCTCAGTATTATCCTGCTACCATTTTCAGTTTAATTGACAGCACCCGCAATGTCACTGAAGTCATACCATGCATAACTTTGTGTGCCTCATCAAATTCCAGAGCACACTATATTTTCACTTATCTGCAGGTAGCTTTTCGAAACTACTACTGGACACTTACGGCCAACCGCCGCTTATAAAGTCACACTGCCCCGTTTCACTGGCGGCGTTCAACTTTCGCACTCTGAGACAAATGGGCCAACAGGCTGCACTCACACAGAAGCCATGCACTCCGAGTACTGACGTAGCTGGTTTGTCAGCGTCTAGGATCAATGACGCACAAGCGGTTGATGAAATAACAGCAACCGGTTTGACCACGTTCTATAGGCTACATGCATCCGAAAGCGATGGTGCTGCCACCAATGGTCAAGCTGGAGTGGACATTGTCCTCAGCAAAAAGGCCAGTCATCCTTGGTTGCTTGCAGTCTCCTGAGCTGGTTAGTGTGCAATACGTTTAAGGACATAACCTAAGTTTGATTCACGTATTAGTACTAGCCGCTTTTGTTTGTGATTTTCTCTTATACCCCACCGAGTGCAGTTCTGATGCTGCAAAAGACGCTTTCTATCACAATCCGAATACGCAAATACGCTAATAGTGTTTCCAGTTCTGACCTCATTGTTCCTTCAGTGGAAGTGAATGGGCAGGTTGATCGTCTTAGCCTTTCAGAAGCATTTCTAGGTGGTCATCATGGCAGAAAATCGAACGGACGGACCACGGCAGGCGTCTGGTACGGCTGTGCGCGGAGCATCTGTTGATTTTCCTTAGTACAGCTTTTAAACAGTATATGCACCGAATTGCCAGTTGGCGTCCTGTAGCTGACTGGCGATCAAAGCAAATAGATCAAGTTGCCACAAGTTACCTGTGGCGTGGTTTCGTCCTGGAATGTTGTTCATTCTAGAGCACTCGCGTCGGCTGTGATCAAGCTTTGGTCCTCTGTCATTTTTCTTACTATTTACCGGGAGGTGTACCAGATACTTATCTCGACTGAGAAATAAAACTTAGAATCGGCCACGGTCAGACAAGCTACCAGGATTCACTGTGTACCGAATTTACGCTTCAGTGAAATAGGATCGCGGCCGCCACGCACCACGCAGGAGCCACTACTTGCCACACTAACAATCGTCATAGCATCAGTCACTGGATAATCGCGAGCTCGCTGAACCTGTTGGATTGCAGAGGACATCTTCTGGCTGGCGCCGAACACAATGTGGCCAGTTGGACAATTATTCGCCAACAAAAGCGATTTTTGCTCTGCCAGCCGGTCTAGTTGAGCCGTCAGGCTTAAGAAACGAAAGAAGCAGGAGGAAGAGGAAAATATCGCAAGCTATTTCAAATGATTCTAAACCATGGTGTTAAGAAACTAGGCGTCGGTTAAATAGTCTGATCAAGTGCGGGCGCCCTGGTTCACAAGAATTTGTATGGAACCCTTTCAAGAGCAGATTAGTTGTCCTCTGCTTCTGGAACTCTTTTCCAATCATGTGTTGTGGGGTGAAAACTGGTCAGTTAGTTAAGGTGCTCAGCCGAAGGCTGTGCTTCAAGCGCGATGGCAGCTCTTAATCGTATTATTTTTCTTCAGTTACGATGCGGAGAGATGCACACTCTACATCCTACATTGTCATTTCTTATACTTTCCTTGCCGGATTTCGCGTCCCTGTAAGGTGAGTAGACTAAAACCTGTAAGCAACATAGATGCGTGTCTGCAAAGAGCATGAAGAGAGGGTCATGGAAGTAGGCAGAGCAATTATTAGCGGTAACAGGGAAAAGAAAGGAGGTGGTACGTACTTCAACGTTTAATGGTTGTCTGAGCAGCTTATCGATTGCACAAGCCGCTTACCAAGATTATCAAGTGACAGAAAAATGAGTGGTCTAGCAAAGCTCTTGACCAGCAACTCATGAGTTAGTAAAAGATGTACGTTTAAACCATTTTGTAAAAGTCAGATGTGCAAATAAGGCTGCTAATTATTTTGAAAGCTAATGGCTGTACTATGGTGGCCAACCAAGAGAACGGTAATGGATTCACGAAAAAAAGAGAACAAATGTACACTGAAAGCAGCAAATAATCTAATGTAAAGGCCACCGTAACACTGTGAGCAGCATGTTCCTTCGCTTACCTTTCACTTGTTACTAATATGACCGCAGAACAGCAGCACCTACATTACTGTACTGTATATTAGGGCTACATAACAAACTCACTTAACACTTTTCGCATAAGCGTGACAAAAACACTCTTCCGAAATATTTTGCTTTACTACGTATCCAATTATTTTAAGGTATATAGTTGGGAGAGCGTCGGATTAATCAAAAACAGCCGATCGTACTTTGGGGGCAGTACTGTTTGCTGTACTGGCTGCTGGGGAGGAATGTTATGAAGTACGTTGTTAAGGCTTGATAAGGGTTTATTAAAGGTATATTGATTTAGCGAACCAGAAAAAGGTGGTGCATTATTTTACGATGTATGTGACTGTGTTTGTTTTAATGCGCAGATGTTGCTTCGGTTTCGCTGCAACGGCTGTGGATGATACTGTTGCGTTCCGCGCTGCTTTTCGCCAATATTACAAGGCGTTTAGTGACATCGAGGAAGGTTTGCGGCGGTTTCAACTTCAGACGGCGGCGGGTTTTTACAAATATGACTTATTGACCGCTGTGTAGTATAAGAAGAGGTCAGGTCAAGAGCTACCCGACGGGATGTGGTACAAATAAATACAATATCGTTGTGCCCATTGCACCCGGAACAGAGAAGGTGGCAGTCGGTAAGTGCGAACGTTGTGTTATGCGTACTTCATTTTGCATAGGGATGTCATTCTCGGTGGTAAAGCCAGCATAACCATCAGTGCACAGGGCATTTACTGTGAGATAGGCTCGCATTATCTGGTGCATAACCATTATTTTCACTTGTGGAGTCGAAGTTTGTACGTGCGTAACCGGCGTCTGACTCCCGAGGCGGAGCGGCAGGTGTTTGCTTTTACGCAGTGCTTCCGAAATACCGGAGAAGTGCGAGACTGTGTCTTGAAAAGATATAACAAGCGATTGAATCGACAAGACCTCTTTTCCATCCGCCATCGCTTAGATGGGTATCTAAGGGAATGATGTGAACGCGATTGCGGAATTGTTGAGTAAGAATGGTGCTGTGCTTGTCGAAATAGTTAAATAAATAAATAAATAAATGGTATATTCTCTGTAAAACGAGACACACCTCTAAAGGCATGATCAAATATGCATACAAGCATAGCTTCTTTGGAATGTTAAAACATTTGGTTCCAGTGAAAGGAATAAACGAAAAGATGTAGTCCATATGAGCGTGCGTATTGTCAGGTACTAGTCAGATCAAGGGCCATGACGGCGCTGTGGCGCGCAAAAAACTGTTGCGTCAAAATACTCGTGGGGGGTAAATTTGCCATGTAGTGATTCATGAGCACAGGAGCCCGAACAAGGTTTAGTGCAATCAATGACCATTACGAAGCCGGGATGATCCGTACTTCACTAAAGCATTCTTCATAGTAAAATCAGTTGCACAGGTTGGATGTAGGAGGCTGAGGACTGCGTCAGTGTGAAATGTGTAACTGTGACTATTTTGTGGCAAGTCACATCCGCCACGTTGCAGTGTGGTTAAGCGGACATTTGTGGCTGTTTATAGGGAGAACGCTTGCCAGGCGAAACCACACCACGTCCTGGAACACTGTCGTAGCTTCCGTTGAACTGTAGTGCTAGTCGGCTATGCATAGTATAGACCGATTTTGCACTCTATTATTCGCAGTCGGTTGAAAGCCAGAATTCTTCCTTCGTTGGCCGAATGGCTTAGTAATGATCCGGCAGTAGTCGTTGAAGCCGGTCAAGGATGTAAAAGCGTCACAGAGTCGAATGATATTGATGCAGGTGAATAAACACATTGTAAATAGAGGCCGTCTTTTTCTCTTATATTGTCCGGCTCGCAACCGGTGTCCAGCTATCCATGCTAGACTTGTCATAGGGACGGTGAGTGCAGTTGTTTCTTGTGTCTGAATATGTCCATAACAGGAAAAATTGCCGTTCACCGCAAAGTGGTTTCGGAATTCCTTCAAATGTAAGTGTTATTGTCTCCATGGCCAGGTGAAAACTCCATGGAAGATCATCGGATAAGCCGATTATACGCGCGCAATTCTGTCCGTGAAATGACATCAGAAAAGCTCCAGGTGACTGGAGAATCGGAATGTTTGAGGCAGTGAAGGTAATCACGCCAGAATCGTCTGCCTTCGGTTGTGGAACAGTGGATCCATGTAAATACAGTATTCTAGGTGAGTAAATTGTTCTACTGTGAGTGCGAGGCGAGCTAAACCCAGTTGTTTAGACCCCGTGGTGGTAGCTTCTCCAGAATGGCGGAAAGATCTCTATTTAGAACGATGTGTGGGTTCTTCATCACCCGGAAAAAAGATCAAGCATGTAAACCAG